AAATCTTCATACTCTGATGACGGAGGCAGTATGACCTCTGAAACGTTGGTTAACATCGACCAGACTACACAGCGCAACAACCCAGAAGACAGAAATCTTCATACTAAGAATCGCCCTGATGACGGAGGCAGTATGACCTCTGAAACGTTGGTTAACATCGACCAGACTACACAGCGCAACAACCTAGAGGACAGAAATCTTCATATTCTTCTTACATCAGAGTAAATTAATTACATAAATTATTATTATGAATATTAATAAATATTGTTCTCACTTTGGCGTCCGTGAAGTATATATTATAGACGTTTGACTGTCTCACATTTCTTGCAGAGGTGGAACGATTTACCCTTTCCATGCTGAGTTTTGCTTACGATATTTATGTTCATGGTAACTTTCAATGGTGGAACGACACATGTGTGCCTACATCAGCAGACTATAAGAAAAGTAGATTAGAGTATTAAACATCAAACTTAAACAAAACTAGTAGTCAGCAATTTTAAATGTGTTGTACGGTTTTATACCATTAAAATATTAATTCCAAGGTTTCAAGAGGAAGCAAATAATTGTCATATCTATTAAAGAAGATGATATTTGACAGTGTAGAGCTAACGAATTGATTGTGATATAAATCATTACGGACTGCGACCTGTAGAATGTTTAATTTGTTGAGTGCTCAAAATGAAACATGGTTAGTTGTCAAATCTGCAATAGTTTTTATCGTCAAAATAAGTGCATTCACATCAAAACCGCAAAAATCAGTCACCTCCAACCGCCATTCTATCTCGCAGTAATTTTATTGTTCATTCCTCCAAATGAGTTGTGGTCTGCCATAGTTCGATACACCGCCATGGAGTGCGGAGGGGAGTTTTGTAATTTATTGTCAAAATCTGGTTTTATACCCTGGACCTTTTTGTGAATTCGATCGGCACGCATATACATCGTTAAACTAGTAAATAAAATGGAGTAAATAAAATATACCATATAGTCTCTCAGTAATTTAATGGATGCGTGTGATATATACGTAATTGGACAAAACCAGTTGGCAGTTGTGTATTTTACATTTTTTGGAGTTTATATTTATTAATAGTTTATTTAATGAATTGAATTTCTTATGTGATATCAATGGACTGCGATTTATTTGATAACTCCTGACAAGACAGGTTAGAAATAATTTATAATCTCAATTTTATTTTAAAGGATTTATTCTACAGGGCGATATTAACAAAAACGAGTAATTAAGTTCTGGTGGTGTGAACTGTGACGCCGTGAAGGTTTGTTACCGTACTTTCGGAGATACGTATTGCCTCCTTCTTCAGGGCTTAAAATCGTTGATGAAAATTATAAAGTTATTCAGGTGTTATGAAAGTCCCTCTTCTGTGCAATTTGTTGGTCCATCACCGTTTTCATAAAATCTGTTGCTCTGAACCAACTCAAAATCGTCCCAGCTTTCCATGTGTAATTTTTAAGTACCTCATAGCAGTGATATTCCTGTTTTACTACTGTAGTCAGTTTTATAGTCCTTTTATAAACAGGTAGGTAGATTGCAACATTTTATTGTTTAACAGTCGACTTCTCGAAGTGTTATATACAGCGAGGAAAATGACTCTTTGCAGTGATTAATCGTCTGTTCTTAGACAAAGACAGTAATTTCTCATTAAATTAAAATCTAACGCTTCCGGTCTGCATACACGCATGATATTAAATCCTAACACACGCAAAAGACAGGCATCTCAGAATCAGCCTAAAACCATCTGCGCTTTGTCGGCAGACGGAGATTTCAAAATTCACGGAAAATTGACTAATTCGGCTTTAGCACTTCCACTAGACTGTTTCTGTAAATATTCGTGAAGTCAGTCATCTGCTGCCGGCAGTTGCAACTACTCAGACCGGGTTTCCTGTCCCAGAGATGCATCGCCGAACCTCAGCTGCAAACTGTAGTAGTCATGTGAAGAAGTGGACAAAACGAAGTTGTCTTGTGTGACATAATTTTGTGCTCAGAACAAACAAAGAATTCTATTGTGCAGTTGTGAAAATTATACGACAAAACAGGAGATTAAAGATTTTAAAATATGACTATTTTCTGGGTTGTCGTGCAGTGTAGTCTGGCAGATATTTACCGATGTTTCAGAAATATTTGATTTCTCAAAACAATTCCTCGCGCGCGGCTTATTCGTCGCCTTGTTGAAGAAAGCAACAAAAACTTCTGAAACGTCGGTAAATTTTTGCTAGACTACACGACACGACAATCCAAAAGACAACCACTTACATACTTTTCGCCGTGAGAACCTGAAACCTGACCAATATTGTAAAAGAGGTTAATAGAGGAACTTTAGAAGCAAATAAGGTAGTGTTCCTTCAACTAATTCTTGTTCAATGATGTTGATCTTTTTCGTAATATGCCAATCTCAGAACTGAAATAACCACGGGCCACTGACTCATCCGAACCTCTGAAACGCAGCAAATGAGCTGGAGGAACTGCACAGCTGTGTTGAGAAACTTTGTTTTTATTAAAAAAGCTTTTATTTCAGCTTCAAGAGGGACCGGGGTTCCACTAAACCCCATTTCCAGCAAGACCTTGTGTCTTGCCAACCGCCATGTTTTGGTAAAACGTAACCCTTGGAATTGCTGTGTATGAAATCTTCTCTGTCACAGAATCATCTGGCGAGGTTTTGTACGTGCTCTTGTGTTATATATGGCCTCATCCTACTTTCATCACCCACATTTCGTCTGATGTCTCGTTGTTGGAACAGAACATTCGCTCTGAAGACGTTGGCTAGAGTGTTGAATATTTGCGACAGAAAGACGGAATCACGAACGTACTCTGAAAGAAAGGACATGAGGTTAGCTCCCACTTGTACCTTCTACCGTCAGCCATCATGTAAAATCCCCGACGTTTACAAACTGCCTCTGACACTGACAGCGTACTAAATCTCCCTGCACTTCGCCTCGCCAGATCCGAGCGTTGTTTCTTCGAAAAAACTGAAAAAAAGACAAAGATCTACAGCGAAGCAGATTTCAAAACGCTGTTCCGTGGGTCTGTATGGTTTTGCCATATTTTTGTGGGCTATTTCAGGCCGGTAACCTCGAATACACAGAACTTGTACTTTGTGAGGTCTAATATCACTGCTCTATTTGAGCGTCACGTTGTGGATTCACTAATAGATGCAAATTATCATCATTATTATTATGTCAGCCTGCATACAGCATACATTTACCTTTTCTTACAAACTCGCGGGTTACAGATGACAATTTATTGAAACTTTGTGTCAGTTAATTTATTAAAATTGCTACTTACTATGTGTACATCAACCTACTCCATAATTTTTGTCGACTTCTTATTTATAATAATTATTTACTCCAAATTACGTTTGTTTCATAATCAAAGTAGAAAAAAGTGTTGTTTGGGGGGGGGGTGGCACATTATTATAAATTGCACGCGGTTCGCGTAAAACGCATCGGAGTATCGCGGATTAGGAATCGGTGCATTAAGATCAGGCCACGGAAACTAAAGAAAATGTGTGGACCAACGATTTAGAAAGCAATTTGTTCCGTTGATTCCGGAATCCGCTACAGAACTGCCGGTCCACTGGACATAACAAATGTCCTGCTAAAACTTGTTTAACTAATCGGATGTGATTTATGTTATCATTGCCTGATGATGTCATCACCAGCGCATGGTACAGCTACTGGGAATTCTGCAGAGCCAATTGAAATACGTTGTAATTTATGATTTTACAAATTTTAACACCCTTCACTTTTATGAAACTGTCCATCTTAAAGCTGAAGCAAATAATTTATTGAAGAAAGATGGCTGTTCAGGATACGTATTAGTTTCATCTCAGTTTATAATTTTTCAAAACACATAGCCTAACCTGTAGGCTCGTATCAAGAGCTGTAAGAGAATTTCACGCTTTAAAATCTATTTTCTCTCCCCACATCATTTATATTGGTCCAACTCTGTTTGAAGTACAGCGTGTTAAAACTCTCTATGTAAACAATATGTTTCTAAGAAGCAAGTGTTACGTCCAAGAAAATCACATATCAGTTACTCTTAAGATGTTTAGACGGAATGGTTCATTTGTCCACAATTGTAGTATTTATCAGTTTTAAAGTTACAAAATATTTGTTAGATTACTAATTTTATAACAGGCCTTTATGAAGTGTTATATTATGTGAAATTTGTATAATAGTATGAATTTTACTTTATAATATGTATTGTATTATAATTATTATTGTGACTTTATCCGCATTTTATTGTCATCTGACTATCTTATGAATCCATGGAATGTAATAAGGATATATGTGTGTTTGGGGTGCTTCAAAAAGTTTTAAAATCGTGCAGATTAATCACTGAGTGCATGGAACACAGTTTTTGAAAACCTTAGTTAATCAAGAAATTTCCCGCCGTTATGAAACACGTAGATTCATTACTGTGTCCGCAAGAGCTCGCCACTGACTCACTATCTTAAACCAGAATGTGTCTAGTCCATAGCCTCAAGATTAAGGAATATGATTACTTCTATGTGTTCTTACTCTAACAAGTTTCTACATTAAATTTTCTTTTGATTTTCTCCTTTTAGATGTTCTTCGTTCCCAGCTCACTTAGTCTGTACCTAGTGAAAGTTTCCTGGTACGGGTTTTTGTGATTTGATACAACAGTTCTCAGGAGGTTGTTTAATATCACTTTCATTTCCTCCTTCATCTCCGTAACTGGTCAGAAAAATCGTACCTCACCCGGGAATTGATTCTAGTTTGTCTGATTCCACAACGTCTGTCTAGGAACAGAAAATAAAAGCCGGTCATAGTGACCGCGCGATCTTGTCTGGGCCGTGGGTTTTGATCTCTCGGAAACCGTAATCGTAGGTTGGAATCCCGTTCGAGGCACTGATGTCTGTCCGCGTCTATCTGTGTCGTGCTGTCCTGCGTAGGTAGACGCCTTGCGACGGGCTCGTCATCCTTCCAAGGAGCCCTAACAAGTGTCTGAACAGCTTAAGAATTTTCTCCCACATGTGAGGCAACCAAAGTCCTTCTGGGACCGGAAAGATACGGAGTTAATGTACATAAACCGTCCAACGCGCTTAGTAACCTAGTTTGTTTAGCCCTCCATGGTTATTTAATCTTCTTTTTAAAGCCCGTGAGTAAAGATTATGCCTTGTTACTTTGAAAGGCTGTTAGGTATGGTGATTGTGTACATCTACAACCCAAATAAGTCTCGCATATTTTGACTGACAAATCGTTTGATTCTTCACAATCTGTCACAGTTGGTGAGCGAATCAGACGCTCAGCGAACTTCATAATTTGCCCACGACTTAAGTCGAGAGAGCAGGCCATTAAACAGAAGCTAGCGAGGCCGCGGGGATCGGCTGTCGAGGCAAAAACAAGTAGATCTGCTGAAACAGCAGGCATCAACAACAACAAAAAATAGACTTGAGAAGTGATTTTGGATATTTGTCCACTTGAATAAGGATTTATGAGGTTGATTTGACGGGACGTTATTATACCCTCCTTCGGTTTTGTATTTGCTTTCTTATTCCGTTTTTTTTTTCCTGAGAACAGATGAAGGATCGTCCTGAGACGTGATGCGTTGCGTTACATTGTTTATAGAATGAAAATAAGTAAGCTTATCCGTTTGTCTGATGGGCCTTTTGCGAGGCAGAGATATTAAACGACGTGTGCTTAGTTTCTTGCTGTGTTTTTCCAACGACAGGATGTGGGTGTTGATCTAGCGGATTTCAATAATTTAATTTTTTGCACAGATAAATATTACTTGGACAGCAAAGCTCAAAGGTCTAGAAGCTTGCTCAGAATTATTTTGCCGTAAAACATAAAAACCATCTTTCATCTGCTATGGACTTCGCGTTTTCTATAACTTTGCCCCGCTGGGGGAATTGATTAGTGTATCTTTTATTTGTTTTCAGAGGCTTTGAGATTTATATATGTCGATGAAATTCATGTAGTTTGTGCAATGACGAAATACTTGTGGAACTGGATATTATTTAGGATGCAGTTCGAATTTGATCGGAAATTTAGTCAGAGTGACAATACGTCGTCTTATATACTTTATATTAGGTAGTTTTCTCCAGGAACTCTCCCCATACGCGTACATATTTGTCTCATCACTACAAGATAGCGTTTCTTATGGGCGGTTAACGTTAAGCTCAGACGTGGAGATGCAATAAAAATTCCAATTAAATTTTAACAGCCCTCTTATAGGAAAAGATTTGGAAAAAACAGGTTTACAAATAAAATAAAAAGAAGTCCTGTAATTCACTGGAAGATTTTCGTGCTGATTGAAAATAATATAGTGTATTCATAATACGAATGTTTTACAAAATTAATAGGAAATAAGATTTGCAACAGAAGATGGTTGTCTTCAGGATTTTTACGTCTAATATTCTTGTAAATGTTGACCAGCGTTTCAAAGATACTTCCTACCACCTTCACCAGGATAATGAGTAAGTAGCAAACACATCTGAAACGTCGATAAATTTCTACCAGATTACGCTGCCCAGCAAACCAGAAGTCACCCATCTTAAGACTTAAATCCGTGAGAACCTGAAATCATCTTACTGTGTATCATGAGACATTAAATAACTCGTCAGTTAATATGGCGACGTAAAACAGAATAACGAACCATTTCAAAAAAGTACTTCATCTTTTAGACATTCTGTAAAGAGCTGTGTAAAGAACTCTGTTTTTATTTTCTCAAAGACGCATCTATCTTACGTTGTGACGTGCTGTTAAGATTTATTCGTCATTCTTTTTTACTGTCTTCGTAACTGTGTCCATTGTTTGAACAAAGAAAGGTGTATGCACTCTTCGTTTCAATTACTTGACATGTTTCCAAGGTTTGATACCTGACCTTCACCCAGCCCTCTAGATAATACTCTCAGTTCAACAAATTCTTGCGTATTTGTGTACATCAGAATCACCGCTGCCTTCTTATATAATACGCCGTGTTGTGGTGTTTTAAAGTTTTACGAAATTATTATATAAATGAAATAAGTCATCCAGAAGGAATGCGAATATAATGCATTAGAATATATTTAATTACATACTTCTTTCAACTATCGTTAAAATAACCGAAGACTAGCGAATTTTAAAAATGATATTCTGTTAGGATAATTCTATTTTTAAATTTACATATAAAATTTAGTTCCTGAAACTCTTCTATCCTCGCCCTAATACTACGTCCATTTTGACTCCAGTGGAAATATTCGTCACACGCCATCACTTTATTTCACTTTTAAACTAACTGAAGTATATGTATGATATTTCACGGCGGATGTCACTAATAAAATGTTCTTGGGCCAGCAACCGCGTCATTTGGTTAAACTCCGCACACGGCTATGACTAGCCTTAAAAACGATGACGGAGATGACCCTCAAAACGTCGGCAGAGTTTAACCGAGTGACTCGACTGCTGGCCGAGATTTTATTAATAACTGAAGTATGGTTTTAAACTTTCAAGGCTACTAACATTAATAAAATATTCTTGGTCTATCAGCCGTGTCAGTCCTGAAACGTCGAGTTTGAACCAGCTGACATTGCTGATAGCCCGAGGGGACTTTATTAAGGGAAGTAATTTGAAACATTTATATTTCGGCGCATTTATACATGTGCACTTGCCTCCAAAGATGTCGTGTTCGCCATTTTAAGGCGCAGTCCTAGAATTAGTTTCAAATGCTGACGAAAGCCACGAACATCTTCAGTGATGATAACGAGTAACCCGACCGAGGTTTGAAACGAGTCCTTCAGCATTGCATGTTCACTAAATGTAATGTAAAACTTCTTAACCACCACGAAATATCCTTGCTCTTAGGTTTTTGCAGCTGGAGTCCAACGTACAACTTCCTGTTTAGCATGATTACCCTGAAGATAGCAACTGAAATGTTCGCCGAAACGTTGGATAATTCTTAGCACTTGCACTTAAAAAAATGTTTCGTGTGATTCTCTGCTCTAATGTAAGTGTTGGCCTGGGAAACTGAATTTTAAAAATTCCAGTCCCGTTGAGAATCGTCTGCATTTTCAGAGAAGACATTTATTTTCAAGAAATATTCAGTGTTTCCATTTGCGATAGTGTTAATACTTACTGAGAACAGGTGGATCCAAGAGAGAGATAGTTGAACGGTAATGAGGAGAGAGGAAGACAGACAGCCGCCGATTTGTTGGTCCTAGCGCGAGCCAACAAGACACAGATGCCAATCCTGTTTGGGTGGTCTCTTGTTTAATCGCCCTCAGGGTCCGACTCGCCTCAAGACCTCTTCTCGCTGTAATTTGCAGTAAGTACGGCATTTTTCCACAAGCAAATTGGAAAGAATTGTTTTACATAACATGGAAGAACCCAAGTTCTCTTTCTGTGAGAGCTGGTTAGTTCCCTTGCTTGTCAGCTCTTGACTCGTAATGAGACAGGATAGGACTCCATCTACATAACAGTTCACAACATTCTGTAAGAGTCGGTAATGTAGGTATCTGCTCGTGTAGTGTTTTTCAGTACTTACAGTGCACACCCCTCGGAACCTTTCTGTTACTGCGGATTGCCCACCCAAAATTTTCTCATATACTTCGACTGAATAGAATAAGTAATAACTAAAATATAGATCAAATATTGCGTTTTTATAATGATTTTTACTCTTACATGGAAGTATAGATGTGACAAAGAAAGTTTAAAACTTAGAGTAATATAATATGAAAAATAAATATAAAGAATCTGCTGAATTCGCGGACCCCTTAGGCATGAATTCCGGACCTCCCGTTGAGAAAAACAGGTAAATTTTTGAGATGTCGGGCTGTGTTGAATGTAAACTGAATTTTCTATGGTTTACCTCTGTCTTTCCGGGCCTAAGCCGCCATAGTAGGGCTACTGGAAGTGTTCAATCAGCACCAGGACTTTATTGCACATGTGTGTCAAAGTTTCGGCACCTCTGGTAGTTCACGTAGTCTGTCAGTTTACTAGTTCTCTCCGATGACCGCACGAGGTTCTTAAAACCAATACGCTGCTGCATCTGTTGGTCGTGATCATACTTTGGTCTCCCATGAACTGTTCACAGGCACTGCAAAAAACATTTCTTTAAGAAATAAAGGATTCATGATGTAGGTTTCTGTGCTGTGTTATACACATAAATGATCAATTTTGTTGATTAGCCTGGTCAATGTTGTAATTCATATCTTCTTATTTATTGTCTTGTTTAATAACACTGTATTGCCTATTCTCAGTTATATAGCTTTGAATGGTGAGATTGCTATTGATAGTGAATTTGGAAGAAAGTGAATTTTTTCTCTAGGTTCCAAACACATAATAGTGTTTGAGTACGGGTATTGACGACAAACCTCGAATACTTCAGATGGGGTAACTGATGTCCAAGCAGAGATCTGAGTCTCTGAGCAAAAGTGCTGAATCTGAGAGCCTATACCCCAGAGTATTGTCATAATTTATGGCCCAAGCGTGTTTGTGAAGCAATGAGGTGGGCTAATCTTGCTGCATGCTAAGATTAACTTTTGTCCTTGAAAGAACAAAATGTTGAATTTTTTTATTAATTAATTTTATTTCTGTTAGAACCAGAAAGTGTCAAGCATTTTGTTTGGTATATTTTTACAAATAAAGTGTTTAGTTGTTTTGAAGGGCAACCTTCCAACTGCATCCCTGTATTTCTTAAGCGTGCAAAGTTAAAATTGCTTCGTATCGTGTAGATGGCAGCACGCCTTCATCTATTAAGTAATCGAAGTCGTGATTGACCATGGGAACGTCAGATGTCACTGATTTTCGTCATATCTTTATTTCACTTGCATCGTGGGAAAGAAGCCGTGTTTATAGTATTGTTTTTATCCGATGAAAGTTCCGCCATCTTCGCGTTGTGTGTCGTTCTTTATGTTACATTTTTATTAAACATGTTTTCTGAAATTGTGAATAACACTAATTCATTGTCATACGTGTGTATTGACATTTAATTTCAAGTATATTATAACTTGTCTAGGAGCTACCTTAAAAGCTTACTAACCTGTATGCTTACAATGGCTACACGTGTGTGTAATTCTAAGTTTGAATATGTAACGTAAAACAAAGTGCTCTAATATTAGTGGTAGGTGCAGCATTTTGAATCGAAATGTGATAATTCGTGGTATAAGATTTCAGAGTATGATTGATTATCAATTTGTTTCGTCTTATCAATACTGCAGTGTTACTTGTGTTGTGTAAATCTTCCTCAAGGAATCCAGACCTAGGCCTGCACGCTCACACAGACCAACGAGTAGGTATGTTGGACGTTTTATAATACTTTGTCATATTTAAAATGGTTTATTTTGGATAAATCACAAGCTTTCGTAGTTATAATGTATGTTGTTTTCTACGTGATACTAGTGCTCATGAATGCTATAACGGTAACAGGGAAATTAGATTGACTTGTGAAGGATTTATGCTGTGCTGAATGGGTGGGTATTGGTGGGAGGAAGCCTGAAGGGAAGAACCGCTGGGGAGACCTAGACGTAGATGGGAGGATAATATCAGGCGGGATCTATGGGAGACAGGAGTTGAAGGAGATTGAATTTTGTTGGCCAAGGAAGGGGACCAGTGGAAGGCTTTGGTTACTTGAACCTTTGGGTTTTGTAAAGCAGTTAGTTAATTAGTTAGTATGGTAAGAAGATGGCTGTCTTCTGGGTTGCAGCGCCGTGTAGACTGGTAGAAGTATAACAGTGGTTCATAGATCCTCGCTGCCTCCATCGTCAGGATCACTGTGATGATAAAACATCATTCATCTGGCCTACGATAAGGACCATTTGATGGGTTCTTGTTTGCATAATAACAAACCTAGTGTTTTATAAAAGGTGAGGAAAGTTTTGTCTAGCTGTTAGTGTTAGTTTCTGAAGAATGGCCATTCTCACCTGAGTTAGTTTGTTAGTTAGGATTTTTCGGTGTAATAGACATTAATTTAAAATTAGTGTAGTGCGATGTCAACAGAATAGTAAGTCCAAAGTAATTACCCGCTGTAGTGGAAAGTAAAGGCTAATTGAGAATTTAAAGAATATACTTTGAAGATATGTATTCTCCATCGAATTCTTATTTTGTTGCATTGATACTCTGAAATCTATCATTTTTTTTTCTAAACAGGTGCCAAAATCTGATAAGTTTTTATATTTTGTCATGATCTTAAACCAGAAACTGGTGACTGTACAAGACCACAATCGACATATTCACTGCCGTGGGAACCTCAAATCTCATGTATTTCCTGAAATTGTGTTTTGTAATAAATAACTGATGACAGTGGAGCGTTTTTAAGTTGTTGCAAGTTAAATATGGCTGGATTTTTTCTCCATTTAAACCTTGCAAACAAGCCTTAAAAGATG